TGGTTGCATCTTCTTGATAGCCGCTTTCACACTCTGCACTGCCTCACAAACCATCATGGCTTCCCGAACTAGCATCCGATTTACTTCCTGATTCCTCCCCGCTACCTAAACTACTATCTCCCTCTTCAGACTGGGGAGGAGTGTCATGGAGAACTTCCCTTCTTTGTTTGTGCTCTAGTAGCCCGAGGTGAGTGATCCTCAATGGTGGTATTTATTTGCACCTCGAAACTACTAGACTCAGAGTCATTATGACCTTCTAATTGAGAAGCAGTGGGGGAGGAATGTTTGGTTGTAAATCTTCGGGGAGCCATAGTACCTGAGAATTACAAAATTCATTAGTTACGCAAATCAATAAAATGACACACTATTGGGTACTCAGACTTCTCCTGTGTAAGTACAATATGATGCATTGCCTTAATAGTGTCGTCACCCAATCTATCATTGGGAAGGGCCACGACATCAAAAGATGAAGCATAAATAAAAGTACAAAAAGTAAACTATACCGGAGCTCACACGGGCCGTAGTAGGTACCACAGTTCGTAAAACTTCTCGTGGATTTATTATAGAATCAGTGTGCAACAGTGGGTTGACCAAGTATTGTTCACGACTAATTGCACGGTCCGTGGAGTGAACCATGGTCCCTGGTAATGCCCGTGAACATAACCAGTGATGGTATGAAATTCCCAAGTGTGGTCCACGAGTTGTTTCACAGCTCGTAGTAGCTTTCACGATCCGTGAAGCCTATCGTGGTCTTACACTTGGGCATTCAATCAGTCTTTGTATCCCCCAACTTCATTATAGGATATGTTATCCCCATTTTTGGCACTGGATCACAACGTGACTACTAACCCACAATAATTCAACAAGCACAAGGACAACAAGAACAATATTCATCCAATACACATATACCTTAATCCTACCCACACAAAAATAATCAATTGTACACAACGCATACTAATATCCATCAAACATAAGGCAACTGAACGTAATACTCATTCAACCAAACACATACCCAAACATCAACACTGTTCTTCATATATTCAACTACCCCACATAATATCAAAACCAATTTAGACAAAACTCAGATAAACCCACAACAATTCATCAAACCCTCCTAAGTAGATATCATCAAAGATCAGTTCTCACACAATCATGCTTAATTTCGATCAAATATAAGCAATTCTAACTTGTTTATAGATAAAATTAAGCATATAACAACTGAATTAGGAAACTTACTTTGAATGAGATCAAAATTTGGTTCGACACTTCGATGAACCTAGGAAACTTACACAGAGAAATAATGAACCACACTTCGATGCTTTGACACTAGAACTAGGGTTTTGATTGTTCAAAAATTTTGGAACTTATGGATGATGGAAACCTAGTTATACTAGTGATAACCGTTATGGAAGAGAGAATGGGAAGAAAAGATGACCCTTGGCGCTTTATGGACTTAATATACATTTTAATTTCAATTCTTCCTTTCGCGCGGGTCGGGTCGGGTTGCAGACATTCTGGATCATGGATGACGGACCGTGAAGTTGTCCGTGAAGGGCACCATGGTCCGTATAGTGGTTCGTGAAAATGACTTGAAACTAAAGTTCTTAGCTGAGGTTCACGAGAGGCTAGACGGTCCGTACAAATGAGGATGGACCGTGAACCCTTCTGTGAACCATTTTGTGGCAATTTATAGTAGCTTCCTTTGGTTGTTGCTGAAAATGACGGGTCGTGAAGTTGCCCATGAAAGGCACCACGGCCCATGAGGCTGCTCGTAAAGAGATATTTGCACCCAGTTCCTGCAATTCTTAACTCCAGTCTCTCCTGCACACATCAACACACAGTGACTCTAAAAACAAATAAAAGTAAGGAAAAGGAAATTACCTATTACAATTACATCTTGGGTTGCCTCCCAAGCAGCGCATAATTTAATGTCGCGGTGTGATGCAGGTTACTTGATTACTCAGACTTCATCAAGTTTACATTCCTCCACAATCTTCACATCTTCTGGAACACCCAAGTATGCCTTAATTCGCTGACCATTGGCTTTGAACCTCTCACCCTTGTCATTTTCAAGGTCAATAGAACCCGACTTGAACACCTGAGTAACCTTAAAAAGACCAGACTATTTGGATCTCAATTTTGCCAGAAACAAATAATGTCTGGAGTTGAAAAGTAAAACCAAGTCACCAGGAGTAAAGGTTCTCTTCTCAATTTGCTTATCATGATACAGCTTCATCCTCTCATATGCTCTCAATCAGAACTCATCCATCTCATTGATCTGAACCAATCTTAGGTTTTCAATTTCACCCCAACTAAGGTTCAGCTTCTTCAAAGCCCAGAGTGCTTTATGCTCAAGCTCAACTGGCAAATGACATGCCTTTCCAAACACCAATCTATATGGGGACATACCAATAGGTGTCTTGAAAGTTGTCTGATATGCCCATAGAGCATCATCTAACTTTTGTGCCAATTTGTCCTATTGACATTCACTGTTTTAGCTAGAATCGCCTTAATTTCTCTATTAGACACCTCCACTAGGCCACTAGTCTGTGGGTGATAAGGTGCTGCCACCTTGTGTTGTTTAACCCCATATTTGGTCAGAAGCGCACTGAATACCTTGTTGCAGAAATGGGAACCGCCATCACTGATGATAGCTCTGGGTAAGCGCACTGAATACCTTATTGCAGAAATGGGAACCGCCATCACTGATGATAGCTCTGGGTGTGCCTAACCATGAGAAGATATTCTTCTTCAGAAAACTAGCAACACTCTTGCCATCATTCTCAAGCAAAGCGACTGCCTCGACCTATTTGGACACATAGTCCACTGCCACCAATATGTACTTCTTCCCATAAGAGCTCACAACTGGGCCCATGAAATCGACTCCCCACACTTCAAACAGCTCCACCTACAGAATATGTGTCATGCGTAACTCATGGCGTCAAGAGATGGCTCCTTGTTGGTGGTACACATCACAACTCCTTACTATGTCTATCGCATCCTGATGAATTATGGGCCAGTAGTGCCCACACTGAAGTATCTTGTGGGCTATACGAGCACCTCCATGATGACCACCTATTGGAGATGAGTGACTGGCTTCTAGAATATGCAACATCTCAGCTTTAGGAATACATTGCCTGATGATGTTGTCAGCACACACCCTATACAGATAAGGTTCATCCCAAAAATAATTACCCATATCATCCAGGAACCTCTTCCTTTGCTAAATGTCAGCCCATCAGGCATCAAATCACTAACAAGAAAGTTAGCAAAATCAGCAAACCAAGGATTAAGATCAAGAGTGGCAGCCAATACCTGCTCATCTGGGAAAGGATCATTGATTTCTAGTTCACGTTCCTCTTTCTTTTCAGCCTCTAACCTAAACAAGTGATCAACCACCTGTTTCTCACAACCTCTCATATCCTTGACTTCAAAATCAAACTCCTAAAGAAGTAATACCCATCTGATTAACCTTGGCTTGAAATCTTTCTTTACCATGAGTTATCTCAGAGTTGCATGATCTGTATGGACTATCACTCTAGTACCCAACAAGTAAGCTCTGAATTTCTCAAAAGCATACACCACAGCCAGTAGTTCATGTTCAGTAACTGTGTAATTTCGCTGTGCTCCATTTAGTAACTTACTAGCATAGTAAATCGGATGGAACATCTTGTTGTGCTTCTACCCTAACACAACTCCTAAAGAAGTACCATTAGCATCACACATTACCTCAAATGGCTCAGCCCAATCTGGGCCAATGATCAATAGGGCAGAAATCAGCTTCTCCTTCAGGCATTCAAAGGTTCTAAGACATGCCTCATCAAAAATGAATTTCACCTCCTTCTCCAAAAGCTTGCATATAGGGTGTGCAATTTTTGAGAAGTCCTTGATAAAGCGCCAATAAAATCTGGAATGTCCTAAGAAACTTTGAACACCCTTCACAGAAATAGGTGGAGATAACTTTTCAATCACCTCAATTTTGGCCTTGTCGACCTCTATCCTATTTTGTGACACCTTGTGCCCAATGACTATGCCTTCCTTGACAATGAAATGACACTTCTCTTAGTTAAGCACTAGGTTGGCCTCCTCGCATCTCTGTAGGGCCCTGCTAAGATTAAGCAAACATTCATCAAAGGTGTCACCTACCACTAAAAATTCATCCATGAAGACCTCCTAAGTGTCCTCCACCATGTCCTAGAAGATAAACATCATACACCTCTGAAAAGTTGCTGGTGCATTATATAGTCCAAATGACATGCATGTAAATGCAAAGGTTCCATAAGGACATGTAAAGGTGGTCTTTTCCTGATCTTCAGGAGCAATTGATATCTCGTTGTAGCCAGAGTATCCATCTAAGAAGCAGTACCACCTTTTTCCAGCCAACCTGTCAAGCATCTAGTCCATGAAAGGCATCGGGAAGTGATCCTTCACGGTCCACTTGTTCAACTTCATGTAGTCCATGCATACTCACCATCCAGTGACTAGTTTTTATGGGACCAACTCGTTCTTTGCATTTGCAACCACAGTCATACCACCCTTTTTGGGCACACATTGCACTAGGCTGACCTAGTGACTGTCAGAAATAGGGTACACCACCCCAGCATATAACCACTTGATGATCTCTTTTTTAACCACCTCTTGCATATGAGGGTTTAACCTCCGCTGATGTTCAATGCTTGGGCTGCAGTCCTCTTTAAGTTGGATCTTATAGGTGCATATACCCGGAGGTATCCGATGATGTCAGCAATGGTCCACCCGATAGATCTTTTGTACCTTACCAACACTTTTATAACAGCTTGGACCTGTTCATCATTCAAATCTGCAGCAAAAATCACAGGTAAAGTGTTGTTACTGCCCAAAAATACATACCTCAGGTGGTTGAGTAACTGTTTCAGTTCCAACATAGGTGGCACCTCAATGGATGGTTTTGCGGAAGGGCTTGGCCTATTTTTGTAATCCATGTCTAATTTCTTTGGAGCATAAGAGTGTGCGCCCATTCCTTACAACGCATTCATGGTCTCTACATAGTCAGAGCAGAAATCAGCTTCAATATTCATCAGCACGACAACTAAGGTTTCAACAGCCAACCTCTCCTCAATGGTTACTCCCATTTCTTCTTCATCAAAAACCTCTATTGTAGACACCACATTCATGTTATGTGGGTATTTCATTGACCTGCAAATATTAAACTTTACCTCTTCTTTGTTGAGTCTGAACTGCAGTTCTCCTCTCTCAACATCTACCAATGCTCGTCCTGTGGCCAGAAATGGTATTCCCAAAATAATGGGAACCTCAAAATCCACTTTGCAATCCAAGATCACGAAGTCTGCCGGAAAGATGAATGTGTCCACCTTTACGAGCACATCATATAGGATGCCCACATGCTGCTTCACAAACCTATCTGCCATCGTCAACTTTATTGTTGTGGGTTTTGGAACTCCTAACCCCAGTTGCTTGTAGATGGCTAGCGACATCATGCTTATATTTTCCCTTAAATCACACAAGCCCTTTGCAAATTTGATTGACCCAATGGTGCATGGTATGATGAATGCACCTGAATCCTCTTTCTTCTATACCAGAGATCTAGTAGCAATAGCACTGCAGTGATGAACATGGTTAGTCAAATCAATACTTACAACTCTCTTCTTGGTAACCAAGTCTTTCATGTACTTGGCATATCCTGACATCTGCTCTAGGACTTCCACCAATGGTATGTTTACTGACAGCTGTCTCAGCATGGTGATGATCTTCTTAAATTTCCCATCCTCGGCTTTCTTTTTAAGCCTTTGAGGTAAATGAGGAGGTGGTCTTGGGATCTGCTGTAAAGGCATAGTTCCCTCAACCTCTTTTTATTTTGCTCCTACTGGTTTTGGTATTGGTTGAGCATCCTCCAAGTCATTTACTTGTTCAGCTTCATCCTCATCTATTCCATCTTGCACCAACACCTGCTCATGTTTAGTACCTACAAAAATTGGGTCATTAAGAATCTTACCACTCCTGGTGGCGATATCCATGCAATGCCCGTCCTTCTTAGGATTTTGGATCGTGTCACTTTGTAGTGACCTATTCTTCATTTGATTTAATGAGGCTGAAGGTTGCCCCAGCTGCTCAATTTGCTTGATGGAGGTGGTGTGAGAGTCTACCAGTTGACTCATACTAGAGAAATCACCTTTCATCTCCTTCACCCCTGCATCAGTTGATTCAACTTTTGGGAGCACCTTGGCAAGCATGTCTTCCAACTTAGACCCGCTGGAACTACCACTTGCCCGGTCTCCATTACCTGGGGGCACATAGACACCACTGCGATCATTTCTGTACCCATCTTTGTTCTGCTAGTTTCCCTGCTCTCTATTTGCTGGCCTATCATACTGTCCTTCCCTTGAGTAGTTTCGACCTGCATTTCCCAAATTGTAACCCTGGTTTCCGGAGTTATAATTTCAGAAAACTCCTTGGTTGCCAAGGTAATTAGCCTCCTTACCTATATTGATATCCTTATCTTCATACCTGTTACCTTTTCATACTTTGAGATTATATTCTTAGTAAGTAGATCTGTTTGGGTCCTCATGTGTGCCATGTCCTGATCCCTTTCTTCTTCTCTTTCCCTTTGTTCAGTTGAAAGTTCAAATGTGTACCCCAGATTTCCTACTTCTGCATCCCTGGTGTACCATGCCTTGTTATTCTTTGACACCTCGTCCCTAAGTTGCATGCTCTCTGAGAACGGCTTCCTCATAAATGATCCTCCACACACTTCATCAGCAACAATTTAGTAACATAATATAAGGATCTATAAAATATTTGTTTTAGATGCCTCTCAGTGAGACCATGGTTTGGACACTTATGCAGATTTTGGTTGAATCTCTACCAGGTGTCATGCATCGCTTCTCATGGTAGCTGCTTATGAGCACTTATCCCATCTTTCATCTGTAGCTCTTTTCATTCTGAAAAGAATTGTTCCAAGAAAGCTTCCTTCAGTTCAATCCAAGTCCTGATTAAGTCATCAGGCATCTCATTCAACTAATGTATTGCCTCTCCAGTAAGAGACAATGGAAACAACCTCAATCTCATCGCTGTTTGGCTAACTCCAGTAATTTCTTGCGATTTGCAGATCGCCATAAAGTTTATCAGATGTTTATTAGAATCATCACCACCTGCACCGTTGAACATACCTTTCAGATTCAGCAATTGAATCATAGTGCTGGTGATTGTGAATTTAACACCTGGAGGTAGTGCAGGTAACACTATCACTCTAGTGGCTCCAACCCCATCCAAGTCTAAGTCATTCTCTTCATACATCATGTGAATTGGAGGCTATGGTCTACCCCTTGGAGCTATTGGTTGGCGATCGGGAGGAATGATTCCATCCATTGTTATGTTTTCACCCACTACCCTAGGTTGGTTGTTCACAACATTTAGCGGAATACCTCTTGCAACGATTTCAGCTTCCAATCCAAATCTTTGTCTCTGTGCCTCAAGTTCTTGTAAGTTCATCATTTTGCAGATTGTTTTCAGAGTTCTAGATCGTATGGGACTAATGGGGCTCCCTTACTGCTGGTATTTGGGATACACAGTCGAACTAACCTGAAAGAGACACAGACAAAAAACAAGATGTAAATTTTGGAAATCTAACTACACTTAGAATAAAAGCTAGTAAAATAGTTCTAAATTTAAATTCCCTGGCAGCGGTGCAAAAATTTGATACGTCCAAACTTACACCTCAATTAAGAGATATATATGGTCGAAGTCAATTTATAGAAGTCAACGTGAGTTGAGGTCGATCCCACAGAGAATTTCTTTATAGAAATAATTTCAATGTTGCGTTTTACTCAAATGTCGTTATTATTTCCTAAAGAAATAGTTATGGAAAGTAAAATGAGTTTAGTTGTGATGTTCTAGTAACTAAGATTTGTAATCAAAATCCAGATTAACAATTAACAGAGTTTTCAGTTCTCAAGTTGTTTGAATGATTAAAAGAAACCATGATTGTGTTCCTTATAACGTTACACCTAATGTTCTTCAGTAGTTAAGTTTTAGGCAATTTATCTCTACAAAATGCAGATGAATTATATATATCTGATACTTCTCAGTCTAATCAGATAATGTTCACTCAAGTCCTCTCAGTCCCAGAGTGTCACTAGTTTTACCCTCTTTTACAATAGTGTTAAAATTCTTATCTCTCGAAGTCAAACTTTGACTCCATTTCTTCCAATTAATTTAGCTTTTTCCTAACTATTATTTTTCTCTCGAATATATAATAGATAGAGGCTTACTCCAATGCGCGCACTCATTAGAATACGTGAATAATGAAAGCTGGATTATAAATTGGAAACATAAATCGCCTATCACTCATTTTACGGAATTACACTTTGATTTTACGTCATAGATCCCATAATTCCAGTTGTGGTATTTATCCAATCATGATTTCACGTAAACATTCAGAAATATAAAATGAAAACATGTTTAGAAAGTACCTACAAGAATAAGAAGATCAACAAGACAATTCGATAATTCAAGAACCAGAAATCCAAACTTTGAACTTGATTCATTGATAAAGTCGAAATTCATAAACTGAGAATAATGCAAACTTGTTCGGCGTTCACCATAATATAAGATAAAACTGAAAAAATGACCTAATTAATTCAAATAAAGTGTTTTTAAAAAGTCCTACTCGAAGTAGGACAGAACTGTCGGCCACTTCACGACCACTTTTACGACCCGTCAAGGGCTTCACAGTCCGTGAAGCCCTTCGTGGTCTTCACTTGGATACGCCCAAAATAGTCTGTTCAAGACCTTTACACTGTATCATCACCATAGACACTACCATGACTCGTGACAATGACCACGGTCCGTGTAGTTGTTCGTGGTCTTCACTTGATGAATTCCCTCTTCAACTTTCCAATGCCCTTCATTGATTCAACTTTACAAACTACATCACGACCTGTCAAAGGTATTACGGTCCGTCAATTATCCCGTGGTCCTCACTTAGCATTGCCACAAGTTACCTTCTCAAAGCCTGCTCATTGGAAATTACATCACGGACAACACCACGGACTGTTGAAGAGATCACGACTCGTCTAGGTGTCTGTGGTCTTCACTTAGAACTTTCCAAGTTTGGGTCTTCAATGGTAGCCTACTGGAAATTGTACCGCAGATACTATCGCAATCCGTCTTGAACTTCAAGGCCCGTAAAGGTATTCGTGATCTTCACTTGATTTGTCAGCACTTCAGGTTTCAGCTTGCATTTTCATCTTCACTATCCTCCTTCCATTTCACTTGTTTCACCTGTACAAACACTTCCAAACACATTATATCCACATAAATACACTTGATTCTAGTATCAATTCTACGTTTTCAATCATCAAATGTGCCAAGATTTCACGGCACATCAAATAGTCAATCCAAGCTTCAAGCAAGAAGGACACCACCTCAAGAACTGGGACCTACACTTATAAAAAAAATTAGAAGAAATATGGGTTAGTACAAAAATGCACTAAGTATGGTAGCTATGCATAAAAACCTTAAAACATGCTATAAAGAGAACATTTAGTTGAAAACTATGCATTTTACCAAGATAAGGATCATCATGAAAACTAAGTGCAAAAGCATAAGATACAAGCATATTCAACATATTGATCACTATATCATACATGGAAACATACCATAAATACCCTCAAAGCATCCTTGTGCAATGTATGAATAAGATCACATACTCCTACCTACACTATGGAAAGCTTATTGAGTAACTATGGTACATAACTCGTATTCTAGGTCATTCTACCATAGTGGGATTAGCTTTAACCGATATAGACCATGCAAGCTTAATCATGGACTCCGGTGTCTACCCCACACCGAAAAAGGGTTGTCCTACTTGCCTAAGGTAGAACTATACTCTTAGCTTAGGTGGATCCACTAGCTAAAGACCTATGTGGGCACATAGTTTATGGGATAAGGGGATTGCTACTAGAAAACTTGACCTCTACTAACGTAAGGGCTTCCATCCCAAGAGATTGTTCCTAGAAACCCGGCCTCTACTATCGTAAGGGCTTCCATCTCATACCACTATCCACTAGGTGCTAAGCATAACTCCCATTTGAGTTTATATTAAGTCTTTACTTAACTTTATAATTAAGAAAGAATTTCTTGACACTCAATCCAACAACTCATTCTAAAGCTCCTAGATTAATTAGTGGAGACTAGTATTCAATCTTTAAAATCACTACATGTGACAAACCTTTCACATTGTATGGAATTCATACCTAAGTGTGAAAGTAAGGATAATCATCCAATCAACACAACAATTAGATTATAATGTATTCACTTTACTCTCAAAGCAATCTAATTGGATACACACAAGTCTCATACATATAGACAATTCTCATGTTTTGCCCTTCAAAGGCTATAGATCACATTCAACCAATCCTATCTAGAATTACTACATTAGATAAGGATGATAACATTATTTAAATAACTAAACTACTACAATTGCAATTTCATGGTATTCATCTTACTTTAATTCACCCACATCACAAAGTCACAAATTAGGGTTATGGGTTTTCATTGATTCATGGAAGATTTTATCATAAAAACTACTATAATCAATAATTCAACCGTAATACATGATAATTAAATCAATGAAAACATTTTAAGAAAGAATCCATGACTTGGAGTGAAAACCCTAGGTTTTGGAGACTTTTCTACCTTAAAATTGAGAATTTAAGGACTTCATGGATGAAAGCTAACCGTGAATCAAAACTACCATACCTTAATTGAGGATTCTTCACGAATTTTATTAGAAAAGGTGAGTCCTTGAACCCTACACTTTAACTTCTTTTTT